GTTTTTAATGTAGTCTGGTGCCTGTCCATGAAGAGCTCTAAAAGTCAGTACCAGGATTTTGTAGTGCATCCTGTAAAATACAGATACACAAATAAAGTGTATTTTACGTACAAAACTAAAGGAATAAATGCAAATCTGACATCTTGTGCATGCTTATTGACTATGGGTATGCTGGTCTGATGGGGTATGCTAATCTGACAGAACAACAGCTCCAAAATGATGCAAAAAGTTGTCTTTCTGACAAAAAAAAGCTCTTTTTAGTGTCAAAAGTTCCTTACACAGAGTATGGATTAGGGCCATAAAAATACATGAATTAATCTGACTTTATTCTCAGATTATGGCTTTTAGTCTCAGATTTAAAAGTCAAATGACATAGGAATATATCCCCGCAGCTGCGGATTATCACTTCGATGAAGTAGGACTATTAAAAATAGTCATAGTTCTATGACAATAATTCTAAAAATAAAGTCAGAACTTCAAGATTAAAGTAAAAAATTATTAACCTTTTTAATTTCCTTGAGTGGCCATTTTTATTTTCCATTGGTTCTAATCCTCTTCAGTTTCTTGAAGTGATGGCATGACATAATATGAAATGCTGAGATTCATTCTCCACCAAGTTACACTGCAAAAACCATCTAGAAATTAAGTGTAATTAGCCTTAATTTAAACAGGTAAATAAGATTATCTGCCAACTTTTTTGGTGTTTAATGGAGTTTTTTACGCTTAAGAAAAGATAATTAGATAATATGCAGTTGAAATAAGACAATCCAAATGTTTTTTGTTTTTTTTTTACACATGTCCCATTGGCATAGTGTCTCACTTACATACTCAATTTAAGAAAATATGCCCTTATTTTTGGACAAAAATTAATTATTTGGATCAAAATTGTTAGCATTGAACATTATTAGTTATAGGATTGAACAAACATATATGGCATGTCAGGGTCCTGGTTCTGTTAAGTTTTCTGCGAGTTTTCAGTTTCACGTTGATCGATGTTTTTCTTTGTTTTCTAGCTTTATTTGTGCTTTCTGGATATATTTGAGTTCCTTAGGTTTTTCTTTGCTTGCCCTCTGTCTCCTTCTAGAAGCCTCTGTTCACACCTGCTCCCAATCAGCTCATTAGTCCTGTCTTTGTTCAGTCTCCCATAAATACGCTCCTTGTGCGTGTTCCTCATCTTTCCTCTTCTTTTCCTGGCTCCTCGTTCATGTTTTCCCTGATGTCTTCATGGTTCTGGTTTGTTTTACATTTTTATGATGGATTTTTGGATTCCTGCTTCTGTTGCCTGTAAGAACTCCATTAAAGGAATAGTACACCCAAAACATGATTAGCCTTCATTTTCTACTCCCCCCCCATGCTGAACAACACTCTGGA